AATGCTATATATACGTTTACATACACAAATTAAACAGTTTAATAAAAAGAAATTATACTTACTTTCTTTCCCTGATAATCCTTTTCGTCAAAATGGATCAATTGCTCAGTAATGTTCACCAATAAAATCTCTTTACAAGAACGTGCATTACAATCAACGGATCGGAATAGAAAATTGGAGTCGGCACCGTCGGCGGCGAGTAGTAAATAATAAAATCAAAGCGCCTAGTAACAATTCCCAAACAAGGTGTGTACGTGCCTCTCGCAGATCCTTGAACTTTCGTATATTTGACAATATTTATTTTCTAAATCATGATAATATGCTATATTTATATTATAATGTGATGTGGCAAGAAACCCTTACATAAATTGAATATAATGCAATGATTTTTTACTGTCATATAGTATTTAAAAATTACATATATAAATCATGAAAGTTTGGGGATCTACGGCAGGCATGTACGCACCTTGTTTAGAGATGTTGCTAGGCGCTTTGCTTTTATTATTTACTTCTCGCCGCCGACTCCAGTTTTTTACTCCGATCCGTTGGTGGCAACAGACGCGCGTAAAAAGTTTTATCGGTGATCGTTACTGCAATTAATCCATTTTGACAAAAAGGATTACCAGGGAAAGAAAGTAAATATAATTTGTAATTTTTATTAAACAGTTATTTAATTTGTGTGTGTGAATGTATATATATAGTACCCCAGCCAGAAATGATTAACGAGAATCAATCGACACCGATTCAATGTCGATCAACCAATCATTTCTGGCTGGGATCATATATTATTTACATAAATTACAAAAGATTCATTCAAAGAGCACGCTGACCATGTTCGCGCGCATGTTATTGTGTATGATATATATATGATATATATATATATATATGATATATATATATATATCATTTGATTTCTCTAATATCGTGCGAATAAGGCTATTAGATCTACGTGTAATAATGCTGGACAGAGCGCTTTCCAAAGTCTGTAGAAATATTAACCTGCATGCATATTATCAATCAGGTCAAAGCGTAAATTTTTGTCGCGTATTTTAACGAGATACCGCCGTATAATTTGAAAAGAGATTGAGATAACCCAATCGAAAATGATTGGTTGGTTGATATCAAATTGACGTTGAGTTTACGTTAATTCAACGTTGATTCAACCACGATCGAGCAATCATTTTTGACTGGGAAATTATTACAATTAATTAATAATTAATAAATAGTGAGATAGAGTATTTACAACAATTATTTATTAAGTATAAATTAAGAATGTATATATAGTGACAAAATTTCAGATATATACAACTGCATATACACACTTTATCACTTTACTTTTATTATATTGTAATTAATTGTTTCAGTAATTGAGAATTCTGTTTTGTATTGGTCGTATCATTAGATGCGCACCTTCCTGTCGTCGATTAGCAACGAAACAATTAATTACAATTACGTATATATATATATATATATATAT